CTCACTGGAAAGTAAACTGTGATAAAATAAAGATGCAGAATATAAACCATTAAAATAACAAAGCAACCATTCAAATAACAAAACAGGGAGTTTTTGCTACGTCAAAAAAGGCTACTAAATAGAATAGAATTATGAAAAATATTCAATTAATCAAAAAGAAGACAGAAAAAAGCAGGAAAAAAAAAGGTGGGGCAAATAGAAAACAAAGAAGAAAGTGATAGATTTAAACCTGACCACATAAACAGTCATATTAAAAGTAAATGATCTAAATAACCCAATTGAAAAGCAGGATGCAGGTATGAGTCACCTATAAGCAAACCACTTTAAATATAAAGTCACAACTAGTTTAAAAGTAAAAAAAAAATGTTATAAATGCTATTGTTTAGATAATACAAATCTTAAGAAAGTTGGGTTGACTGTGTTAATATCAAGACAAAGCAAAGAATATTACCAGATGAAAAGCAGGATGCAGGTATGAGTCACCTATAAGCAAACCACTTTAAATATAAAGTCACAATTAATTTAAAAGTAAAAAAAAAAATGTTATAAATGCTATTGTTTAGATAATACAAATCTTAAGAAAGTTGGGTTGACTATGTTAATATCAAGACAAAGCAAAGAATATTACCAGGGATGATAAAAGTTATTCCATAGTGTTAATGAGGTCAATTAATCAAGAACAAAAAAAATCCTAAACATTTATGCACCTATTAACTGAGCTGTAAAAGCATGAAGCAAAAAACTGATGGACCAGAAAGAAGAAATAAACAAATCCAGAATTATAGCCATAAATTTCAATACTCCTCTCTCAATAATTGATAGAACAAGGAGACAGAAAATCAATAAGAATATAGAACCTAATAAATATTTATAGAACGTTCCACCCAACAGAAACAGAATAAATAAATATCCTTTTCAAATACACATGGTACATTGACCAAGATAGACCACATTCTGAGCCATTAAGAAGTTCCAATAAATTTAAAAGGATTCAAGTCATACAAAATGTATTCTCTGACCACAATGGAATTAAATTAGAAATCAATAACAGAAAGATCTCAAAAAAATCCCCAAATATTTGAAAACTAAATTATATACTTTTATATAACTAGAGGTTATATAAAAGTATCAAAGGGAAAATGAGAAAGTATTTTGAACACAATGAAAATGAAAACACTATGTATTATTTATCCATTTGTGAGATTCTGTGAAAGCAATATATAGGGGGAGATTTATAGCACTAAACATCTATATTAGAAAAAAAATCTCAAATCAGTTATCCCAACTTCCACATTAAGTAACTAGAAAAAGAAGAGCAAATTAAATCCAAAGCAGAAGAATTAAGACAATAAAGACTAAGGAGAAATCAGTGAAATGTAAAACAGAAAAGCTATAGAGAAAAATCAATGAAACTAAAGCCAGTTCTTGAAGAAGATCAATAAATTAATAAACCTCTAGCTAAACTAACTAGGAAAAAGAGAAAGAGAGAAATAACAAAAATACACTAACATCGTTAATTATTATGGAAATGTAAAATAAAACCACAAGAAGATACCACTTTATACCTGTTATAATGGCTAAACTTCAAAAGACTGACCACACCAAGTATTGGTGAGGATGTGGAATAACTGGAACTCGAACACTGCTTCTGGGAATATGAAGTGGTACAGCCACTTAGAAAAACAGTTTGGCAGGTTCCTCAAAGATTAAACATATACCTACTACGGGAGCTAGATATTTCACTTCTAGAAATTTCCACAAGAGAAATGAAAACACATATCCACACAAAGATTAGCACACAAAGTTCATAGCAGCTTCGTTTGTGATAGCCCCAATCTGGAAACAACCCAAATATCCATCAATAGGTGGTTAGGTAATCAACTGTGGTATATTCATGCGAATAGAATATTACTCAGCAATAGGAGTGAACTATTGATACATGCTACAACTTGGATGAATTTCAAAATTATTACCCTAAATGAAAGAAGCCAGATCTTCTAAAAAGTACATACTATATGATTTCATTTATATAAGATTCTGAAAACGCAAACTAATCTCTAGCAACAGAAAACAGATCAGTGATTGACTGTGGGAAAGAAATGAGGAGAGGCTCAGGAGGGAGAGATTACAAAGAGGCATGAGGAAACTTTGGGGGATAATGAATAGGTTCATGTTTTTTAATGCAGTGATGGCTGCACAGGGGAACACATAAATTGAAACATCCATTTGTACACTTAAAATATGTGCAACTCATTGTACGTCAATTATACCTCAATTAAGCCGTTTTAAAAGTTCATGGACAAATGTGAGTAAATACACAAATCAATAAAAAGTTTATTTCTTACAAGTCATTCACACCAATTGAGATAGGAGACACTAACTTATTTGGGGCTTGGTAAAAACATCAATGAAGGTAAAGATGATCCATTTGAATTTATGTTATTTGTTTAAAATTAACCTAAAATGCACTATATGGGATTTTTTTATGTATAAACTCAGTAAGAAAACAAGGTTACTGTGTTTCTAACAAATTATTTACAATAAAAAAAATCAATTTAGCACATTCTCTTGCCCAATATCTATAATACGATTTCTCTGATAATTCTAGTTTTGAGATTCATTCTACAGAGTGCAAATTTTAATGCACTTGGTCTCATGCTTTACACAATCCAGTGAGAATATATTTGTATGACTTAGGCTCTTTCTATTTGTGGTTCAGATTGAATAGAACTGAGAATTTCTGATTACTTATAACCGATCCCTGCAGAAGCAAAGGTTACGCTGTGATCATGTGTTCACTGGGGAACTGCACCCAATAAATGTCCCAGCTACAGCATAATTCCACTCTGAAATTCAGTGCGTAAAAAAATGGAAAAAGATTAGGCTGCTGGAGAGGGGGTGAAGTAAGATACATCTGATTCTAGGATTTTTATTTCAAGCAAAATTAAAAACTACATGAGATTCTTTGTTATTTTCTGAATCTTGCTCACTTTCCTACAGGGAAAAATAAATCCCTCTTCAAGCTTTCTAATTTTTCCATGTACATAGAATGTACTCCTTCAAAAGTATTCCTAAACTGAAATAATTAGACCAAGTATCATCTTAACATGCAAAATCTTTGAAATATATAATATACTTAAACAAATTCAGTTTTATGTGGCCCAAATGCCTCATAAAATACTACCAAGAGTAAATCCTCAATTAGGCTGTAAATTGGTATCTACTATGATTATAAATACTTTTAAATGTAAATCAACATTGAATACCTTGTCCTGTTACTTATAAATATCCTTCATTTCAAAAATTTTTCAAAACTGTTTCATAAACTATGTTGACAATGTATATTTCTACATGTTTGCTTGGTTTGCACAAAGGTGTTGGCTGTTTTACATCCACGTGTACGTAGCGATTTCTCTTCACCCCCCAAACACTGAAACCAAAACAGTGTAGTAGTGAAGATAGCAAAGGCTTTGAAACCAGAAGACCTGGGTCCAACCCAGCTCCACCACAGACTAGTTCCAACCTTGGGCGATGTTCCTAAGCTCTCCCTACCTGTTTCTTCAAATTGTACATAGGAATGCTATTCACAGGTTGTTGTGAGGACTGATGAAGGTAATTGTGTAAAGATATTAGCCTACAGCCCAGCACAGAGTGAGCACTCAAAAAATTAAGAGCTACCTTTGAACTACAAAAAATTCTAGGTTAGGGCCTGCCTGATGATTATATTTATCTTATCACAGAGCAACATGACAGCTGTATTCTCACAGGAGTGGAATACTTGAAAGTTATCATTTAACCAAAACAAATATTTCTTAGAAAGGCGAGAAGGCCTAAAAAGAATAATAAAAAATGAAAAGACCTAGTTTAAATTCCAACTTTGCCATATTAATAAAGTAACCCATTCTAGTTTGTTATTTTATTCTAACTGAACATTTCATACTCTGTAAATTGGACCTGCACATAGTAGATTCTCAGTGAATGCCTACTGAAAGATTAAGTCAAAGATACTGTCTATAAGAGCGTTTTTAATACTTTTATCTGCCTGATAGCATAAGATCCCTTTCAAATTTGAGGAATGGCCATAAAATTGAGTTATATTTCTTAATACATCAGTCACTATTACTCAGGTATTTCTCTCGAATGATAAACAGATGGAGTAAATGTGGCTCAGCAGAACATTTGTTGCATTAAAACCTGAATTGCAAAATTTAATGCTCACAAGGATTTTTTCTCTACCACCACCCCAGGTCCACTGCAATAAGAGACCCCATGAGAACCCTATATCCACTTTCAGAAAACCAATGCTGAAAAGCTCCACACAGTTGACCACTAAAACATCTTGAAACTTGCTTTTTTCTTTCAAGCAAAATGCCATTGTCCCTGATGTTCATAGTCCTTTAAAGATTATTTTATTCATTTCACAGGTCTCCTGTTATGGCTGGAGGTCTCTTTGCTGTGGATCGAAAGTGGTTTTGGGAATTGGGTGGCTATGATCCAGGTTTAGAAATCTGGGGAGGAGAACAGTATGAAATCTCTTTTAAGGTAAGCCACCAAGACCCTCTTCACACTGTCTACATAATATTGGCAATTCTAATAGAATATCATCATTTTGCTGTGTGACCAGTGTTTTAAGATGGCTTAATAAAGACGAAAGACATGTCACCTTCCCAAGTCAGCTTTCAGATGAGAGAAGCTACTTTTTTCTATTGTTTCAGTGAGACATAGCCATGCCATGTGCAAAAAGAAATAATTCAAACTTCCATTTACACGTGGGTGGGAAACTTGGTGTTTCTCCACTGATAAGTGCATTGCTTCCAAAGTACATAAAAGATACAGATAGAAGAATTAAGATGAATAAGCATGAAAGAAATCAAGTTATTAGAGCTTTTGCCCTTTGTATTTGTTCTAGAAATTGTAATTCCGATTTTGTTCATAACCACTTATCCCAAAATTACAGTAGGAAAAGAATAAACTTAAAAATATAAATGGCAAATTGAAGCTCTTCTTCATATAATCCCAAATGAGTGAGTTTTTTTGATTATTTTATCAGAAATTGCCCAAGGCTCTGTTTGCTTTGATCATAAATGCTCAGTAAAATTATATACTTTATTACACACACACATACATATTTATGATAGAGTATCAAATTTCAGGGCTTATTCATGAAAAAAATTGCAACATATGATTTATTTAATTTATTTACTTATTTATTTATTTATTGGCGACTGGCTGGTATGGGGATCTGAGCCCTTGACCTTGGTGTTACCAACACTGCGTTCTAACCAACTGAACTAACCAGCCACACCCCTGCAACATATGAAGAAGTTAAGCAAAACATAATAAATCATGCAAAAAGTTATATTCCGAACTGCCAAGATTTTTTTTTAAAGCAGTCCCATAATGGAAAAAATATTTTTTTTCTTTTTTTCCTTTACCATAATCATTATTTATATAGAAGCATAGATTGATTCATGCAACATTTATCATACAGAAATCATTAAGTAAATCAGCTTTTGCTCATTACTTCCATCGTAAAATCAAACCAGTTCTTGCTCAGGAAAAAAACAAAAAAATACACCCTGAATATAGAACAAGTCAAACATAAGAATCCAGCTAACTTTTTGAATTAATATACGAGAGCAAATGATAAAGCTGATTTCTATTAAACTGTAAAAGCTATATACAGCGTGTTAACAGAAATGTCATGTTGTCTTCAAAGTGTCGTAAAATAAATACCCCCAAGGAGAAACTCAAGAGGCACAACTACAGTCTTGAGGACATCTAGAATTCTCCCTCTCACCATGCTGGTGGTAATTCTTAAAATGCCATTTATTAAATGAGTGCTTTTTTTCACCATCATTCAAGCACATCTAATTTCACCTCTAAGGTACTTTATTTTTAACCGTTTTGAAGATGCATTGTTTCAAACTTTTGAATTTACCAATGTTTTTTGGTTTTCTCTGTTGTAGCAATAATTGTACAGCTTGTTACAGTGTATATGGCAGAAGGTAATAATAATCGTAGCTGTAATTATAGAAGTAACATCTACTACATTTACTTAGTGGTATATATCAGATGCTAAGCTAAGTGCTTGATATGCATTATCTAACTTAAAAATCACAGCCCTGAAAGGTGGGTATTATCATTCCATTTTACCTATGAAGCAACTGAGTCTTAAAATTTTGAAGTTATTTAGATTAAATTTTTTTAAAGTGCTAAAGATTAAATAAATTACACAGTATCATTTGAAGATTAAAATGCTCCATTTTTGCTTAACTGCAGAGAATGCAGAAATGTGAAATTGTGTGACCCGAGTCATATCTACCAACACCATTCTCAAGTTCACTGTTAACCTTTTGATCCCTATGTGATGGTTTATCTCATTGAATAGATGCCAGTCTCTTCCTTATAGACTAACAGCTCAGCAGCAAACTTTCTGCTGATCCTGGAAAAATACTATTGATTATCAGATATTGCCTAAATATTAGCTGAGTGCAGAGTTTACAATAATACCTTCAACTGGAAAAACAGAATATTACATTTCATTCCAGCATTAAGGAAGAAATTTAAAAGTCACTGCTGTTTTTGCAATATCATCAGAATTCAAGGGATACTTTTTACTTTTCATAGATAGAGACTTTTTTTTAATTCTCTTAATTCAGAATTTCTTTAAGTTTAAATGTTAAGAAATTTGTTATTAAGCAAGAGATACCTGGCTCTGAATAGTAAACCGCATGGTGGATAAAATTGCTATTGAAAAGCTGGAGAGTTTCCAGAACGTACCTTTGCTTTCTAACTCACAACGTTTTTTCAGGCAAACATAAACTCGCATCTTTCACTTCTCTGTCATCTGGATCTATTATATCTCTTCTGAGTGACCTAAGATTTTATTACCCCATTTCCTATTTTTCAGTTATCTGTCATTCTGAAGGATATAATTGGAATGCAACCTTGTCGTCTTTGTCTAGAAACCATGGCAACAGCACTGGAAGTTCAGGACTAAATTGCCCCAGGTTGTTTGGTTGGAATGACACATTCTTTGGCGACAGCTATGTCTTAACAGTGTCCCATTTCAGACATATCCCTTCATTCTTCTTGCTATCGTCTGCTGACCCCGGGGTTCTTGTCCCTCCCTATTAGTATTTGTAACGTGAGGGGACAAAGTTAAACAGGCTTTAGTAGAATTTGCATTGAAGCAAGAAGAATTTGCCCTATGTACAAAGAATCAAAAGAGCTATTTGTATCAAAATAAAATAACTCTATTAAATTGTAATAAAAATAAGGGAAAAATTAAATGTCTGCATTTTTGGACATGTCCCATAAACTATGATTAATTTCGTAGTGTAAAACATTGTAAGATATACACTAGTCAGCACTTAAGGTTTGGGAAACATGTATGGATAAATGAGAGTTCACTAGTCTCTTTCATTTCATAATACAGAAATTGTTTTAAGTCTAGAACTTAAATGCTCTAACTCAAAATACTTTTATGAATGGTCACTATCGTTGCTCTTTACTTTTCAAACAAATAATAATTTCACCAAAGATTATGACAAGATTTCACTGCTGAATGAAAATATTTCTAGAAAACTCTGCTATATAAAGCAGGATTAAGTTTGGGGTCAAATAGTATTTGGATAGGAGTGTTCTTCAATTCTCTTTCTCTGTAAATATCTTTACTTCATTTTTCTAAAAATCTGACTAGATGAGTAAATTTTATGCCGTAACATAAAAGCCAACCAATATAATTTCCAGGAATCAGTTGAGGAAAAGGAGCTCCCTAGAGAAATGATCTGTCTACACCGTGCCCAGTCTTCAGCCTTTTAATATGCATCTGGACTCCTGCGTGGCCCACAATTATCCAGCTGTCTTTCAGATGTTGTTAGGTTAGCCAGCTGCTGGGGAGGGGAGAGAAGCATTTAGTCAATCATTCAACCAGCTTTTGTTGAGTATCTAATTTATGCAAGGCACTGTTCCAGGTACTCAATTTGGAGTAGCACCTGGAAACAAAGAGGTGTCCAAGACAGACAGTACAGTGATGCATAAAAGATATAGCCTACATTTTTAAATGTTGTCTACTGAAATTGTATCTCTGACTTTTCAGAGAGCATTTTTACATCCATTCCTTAAAGATAAATGCCCAAATGTTAGCATTTCCAAAAGATCAGTTCCTTGATTGCAGAAAACTCCTCTGAGAAACTGAAAGTGAACAATCAACACAAATCAGGCACCCAGAGGAGATTTAGAAGGAAGCTCAGGGACTCTATTCTGCAGCATCCTCTGACACGAGACGTAAAGTTTGGATCCAGGTGGAAGAGCATTGAATTTGCTTGGGGCTACCTTCTTCCACCCCAAGGAGCTCATCAACATGGTCCCCCTTTGATCCAGTGTTTCTTAGGCCAACTAGAGCACCAGCGGGAGCTCTTGATCCACAGCCTCAGCTCTACAGAAGAGTCCAAGGCTCCAGATGAGATTAGTGTGAGTGCCAACCTCCCAGAATGAACCTAACCAAACTGGGAGCCCCACAGCCCATTACAAATCACTTTTAATGAATTATAATATATTGCATAACCACCTTCATTGTGTGCTGTCTCCTTTCGATGTGGTGAACTTAAGATGCAGATGTTTAAGGAAACCTTAACTTATGTCTCACAGTTGTTCAGCCCTTATCAGTCATTAATTCATTCAACAGACATTTACTTATTGATTACAATTGCCAACTCTGAGCTAAGCTCTGAGATTCAAAGATAAATGTGAGAAGTTTCTCTGGAGTAGATTACTCTCCAGTAGCAGCCAGGAGAATTAATTCACCACAATTCCTTATCCTCAGTACTGTTTGGAATATATTTTATTCCCACATTACAGTAATAATTCAGGACATATACAGTAGCCTCTTCACTAGCCTCCCTTTCTTGAATCTTTCTCCTCTTTTAATCTATCCAATATTTTACTAAATTCTCCCTGAGTTGCTTTACTTTCTCCTCCTGAAAGTTTACAGTTGCTGCTAATCACCACATAAATCAAATGAATGTACTGAAACATAAACCGTGAATTTTTTATCTATTATCTGCCACACCCAACTGCTTCAGTCTACATTGCACATCAGTTTAACTAGTGTTTTCTTTTCCTTCCCAGAAAAGATGGAGACTCATACTTCCATTTCTGTTCCTATTTGTTACAGGGATTTTACCTAACCAGTAAGACTTGATTCTGTTCCTGAGAAATTTGTTTATCCTCTCTACAGATATTAATCAGCAACCCTCACTGTAAGTCCATATATATGCAAGCCAGATGCGGCAGAAAAAGGCAAAGGAAGCTCAGTAGAAACCCATGGATAAAGTACAATTGAGATGAATATTTCACCCATGAAACATAAACATCAGTTAAGCAGGAAAGCATAAAAAAGCACACCAATAATTTTCTCTAAAATAAGCATACATTTATTTTATTCACCAGTCTTCTAACACAAGGATGGCCAAAGCTTTTCCTTCTGCATTTGGTTCCTCTTACTAGAGTAAAACTACAGGTGCATAAACTACACC